CTCACACACACACACACACACACACACACACACACACACACACACGTGTAGTAGGAATATTTCCATGTCCTAGCGGATCTATTTTGCTGATCCTATTAATGCAAGTAGCATGTGGCCAGCCGAGTGGTTGGAGACTTACCCGTTCGCCGGTGTGTCGTGTCGATGGAAAACTCCCGCTCCTTCTACCGCCCCTCCGCCTTTTTTTTTTTTTTGTCGGCATATTCGCTATACGCTAAAAAAAAACATGACTGTGGCACTGTTTCCGAGTGATCAGGAGGGTGTGTGTGTGTGTGTGTGAGAGAGAGAGTGTACTCTCTCTCTCTCTCTCTCTCTCTCTCTCTCTCTCTCTCTCTCTCTCTCTCTCTCTCTCTCTCTCCCCCGTTTCCCCTCCCGCTCCTCCTCCCACTCCTTCTACCGCCCCTCCTCCCGCGCCTCCCGTTTCTCCTCGTGCTCCTTCTTCCACTCCTAACCCCCTCCCCGTTTCCCCTGCCGCTCCTTGTCCAGCTCCTCCTCCCGCGGCTCCTGCACCCCTTCGCATTTCCCCTCCCGCTCCTTCTCCCGCCCCTGCTCCCGCCCCTCCTTTTCCTGCTCCTTTTCCCATCCCTCCTCCCGCTCCTCCCGCTCCTCTTCCCGCTCCTCCCGCTCCTCCTCCCGCTCCTCCTCCGCCAAACAACATGACAAAGATCCCGCCATAGCCAGTGCCACAGTCCATGCATGGCACTCTCACAGTCCGCACCCCGCTGCCACCCCGCTGCCGCGCCACCGCCCACGCACCGCACTCACCACAGCCCCACGCGATGTACACCCCGACCTGTCCCCGCCGTGGATGCGAAGCAACGAACGCTCCGATAACCTCCTCTCCCCCCCGCGCTAAAAAACAAAAACAAAAAGCCACAGTCCACACACCACACTCCCCACACGCCCATGCGATGCGCACGCCGCACTCGCGCTCAAAAAAAAGAACAAACACACAGTCCACGCACGCGCTCCAGTCCCGCCACCCAATGGCTGCCCACGAAACGCCGCCGAATTCCCTTGCCGCAGTCCCGCCCCCCGCCGCACGGAATTTCGCCGGGCCCAGCAGGAAGCGTCACGCTGGGCCCTTTGCATTCTTTACGAGTATAGGGATAGGGAAACTGAAAAATGGGGTTGTAGATATCCAAAAGATCTACACCCCTATATTTTGTTTTATATTGTTGTTTATTGTTTGCACGCGAAAACAATTCTGTGAGGGAAAAAAAGAAAACCGCACCCATTTCATCTGTTTTTTTGTTCCCTTCGTTTATGTTTTTGCTTTTTTTTATTTACAATAAAGAAAAATGGGGTTGTAGTCTTGTAGATCTCAAAAAGATCCTTTTTTTTCTGCATATCTTTTATCCGCGAGAAACAAATTCCCGCGCCCGCTCAAAAGCCCCGCTCAAGGTGCTTTGAGCGGGGGATTGAGCGGCACTCAAAAACATGAGCGTCGACCGCGCGCTCGATCAGCACTGCTGGTCCCGAGGCCGGTCGATTGTCTGAACTGGAAAGAGATTTGTTCTCCTCGCTCCACTGCTCACCGAACGTGCAAGATGAGAAAGAATCTTCCCATAGAGTCGGGGCATGTGGTGAGTAGTGGAACCAGAGTAAAGCTGCAGCCATGCGATTTCCCCTTCGCAATCCATGAATTGGAACCAGAGTGCAGCTGCAGCCATGTTTCATCAATATGTTCTCAAGTACCAGTCTTCATGATCTTCTTAATAGAAAATCAAAACGTATTTTTTCCACCCAATCACAGAAAACATGGCTTTGGCCTACAGGGGGTAGGTACAGAGCGCACGCGAGTGCCCACAGTCAGACTGCATGGGCACAGTTGCTATCAAAAGAAAAGCCAAAAGTGCGCAGAAGTCAAAACAACAGGCATGACAACTGAGCATGCATGCTATTCCGACACCGATCGACTTCAATTGTCCACTGCATGCAAAAGAAGAACTTGGCTTCAAGGAATGAATCAGGCAAAGGCAGACGGGTGAGAAGAAGATGATCCCACATGGGCTGACGGAAACAACGATGAGGCAATGTACACAGCAATGAGACACTTCATTGGAGGGGACAACTTCACAGTGCCAAACCAAACTTGGCAGAAAAACACTGGGTAAAAGACTGAGAGCACACTCACACTTGCACTTTTGTGGATGCATCTGGCCAAAAGATCTGCACCTGATGCATCTGACCATATTTCCTGTCAAAGCTGAGCAGATTAAGTCCTAGCGTGAGTATGCCCTGACTCAGACAATGTGGAAGATCGAGGATCTGCTAAAAGAACTGGCAACATGGCGAAGCATGGCATGAAACAAATCTCAAAACGCAAACAATCATGGTTAGAGAAGCAAACATTCCCCATAGTAAATTTGTACATCATGGTTGATCACAGGCACACGCAAACAATCAAACATCCACAACCAAGCAACCATGGGGTGGATGGAGGTGGCAACAGGAAGAGGGAGAGTGGAGGCCGCAGAGTAACAGAAAAGGGAGGTAAGGTGGGGGAGAGAGAGAGAGAGAGAGAGAGAGAGAGAGAGAGAGAGAGAGAGAGAGAGAGAGAGAGAGAGAGAGAGAGAGAGAGAGAGAGAGAG